CAAATGTGTACACAAATCATAAGTGCACAGCATGATCAATTTTCACAGACTGAACACACTTGCTTGACTGGCACAGAGATCCCCAAAAGAAATTGACCTTTTCTGTTATGCCCAGATGCCCCTTGGGCATCCACTTGCAGTCACTACCTTCCCATCCCTACCCAGGGTAACTACCTTTTGACTTCTAACATAGATTAGTTTTGTGTATTTTTTTAAAAAGGTACGTTTATTTATACATACAAGAGCTGGGTTACAGGCCAGAGGTGCAGGGATGAGAGGATTCACGAGAGACAGAGTGGGGAGCAGAGCAGGCAGACCAACTGAAACACACTGGTGAGAGGAGCAGCTAAAGAGATAGGAGCAGTCTGCTGTCATGTGGGTCACCTCCCTGGCCAGGCATTGAACTCTGGGCTGCACTGGCTGTGGATAGCTTATAGTGTTGCGCCACCAGGCGAGGCCCTAGTTTTGTATATTTTGATGGTTATATAAATAGAACCATACTGTATGTGGACATGTTTTGTTTCAACTTGTGGAATACTCTAAACTGCTTTATACTGTGTTTCAGGTCCTGTACAATGGGTTCACTGGTCGAAAAATAACATCGCAAATCTTTATTGGTCCTACTTATTACCAGCGTTTGAAACATATGGTGGATGATAAGATTCATTCTCGTGCCAGGGGGCCTATTCAGATCCTTAATAGACAGCCTATGGAAGGTAGATCTCGGTAAGAGAGCTTTATCATTGCCTTTTTTTGATTAATTAGCCTTTTTAAAGAAAATGTCAGACATAAAACGAGATAATGATATAATGAACCTTCATGTGTCTGTCACCCTACTTTAGTAATTGTCATTAACTCATAGCTAATTCTGTCACTTCCATTCCCTCCTCCTGCAGCGACCTCTGATTATTAAGTGTTGATGAAAGTTTCTCTCTAAATATTTCAGTATGTTTTTATGAGTGAGCCTCAGATTTTCTGATTTCAGGACTCCATTATTATCCATGTTAGAACTGAGAAATAATTATAATATTTGTTAATTTATTGAAAGGTAACATGAATAAATCCATTACTCATTAATGTAACAACATTTTTAATGAAAACTAAGCACATTTTCCAGATAACTTTAATCACATTGATTTACTTTTGTTAGTCTCTTAAATGATCTTTGTATTAAAAGCCTGAATTCTTCTAGTAAGTCCTAACTCAGCCTATTTAATAGGGTCCTGGAAACTGATTTTTTTTTTAAGATTTATTTATTATGCATACAGAACTGGGATATAGGCCAGGTGTGGTGGGTGAGAGGATTCTCCAGAGACAGAGTGGGGAACAGAACAGGAAGATTGACAAAGTACACTGCTGAGGGGAGCAGTGGGTGGATCAGGAGAGGTCTGTTGCGCCATGTGGGTCAGCTCCCTGGCTCAAGATTAAACTCATGCTGAAGTGGCTTCAGAGAGCTTCATAATGTGATGCTTTAACCCATTGTGCCACCAGGGAGAACCCTGGAAACTGATTTTTAAGCAAAGCAACATTACTCAAGGAATTGCTGCTTCATCTGCTCCTGTGTTGGTTCCATTGCAGTGTTTTATTTTTTTATATTCAAGTTCATGAGGAAAATATAACCTCACAAAGATCTGTTGTTGGAAAAGGAGGAATATTTTAGTAACCTTTTCAGGTGTCTGTGGGTATTCTTTTCTGTTACTACAGTGAAATGATACTGTAAATTCTTAGAATATTAGTTTTGATATAGAACTTGAAACCTTATCAGTGAGTCGTTTATACTTAATGTTAAAATCTGTTGGCTATCGTTATACTTTATGTCTTTTATACATGGCTAATTTTGTAGCATTACAATTGGCCCTTGGGGAAATACTGATTCACTGAGTTATGTAGGTTTTCAAGTGCTGACACATTTCATTATACCAAAAAAAAAAAAAAATTTCACACTTGTGAATATTAATACCCATGTCATGAGAAGGATCTTTTTGGAAAGCTGTCAAGCTCATAGTAGTGGACAAGCATTTCTAAAATTCTCATTTTTGCATGAAAGATTTTAAATTTTTAATCAGATACTTAAAATTGTCTTATTTGAAGTGAAAGGCTCACTGTTCATTTTTTAGAAAAAAGTATCTGCTGAAATCTAAGTCTGAATGAATGTACTCTAATTTTTGTGAATTTACTTAGTTGGCATCTGCTGTATTTGCAAGTGAACATGCTCCATGCTCACAGTTCAGAAGGGGCAAGTGCTTTTTCTTTAAGACAGCTGTCCTCAGTGTGTAAACATCAGAAGGGCTGTCTGAGAACTTGTCTTAGTAAAGAGATGTGTGTTCAGGGTTGTCAATAAAAGTACAACAGGACACTGAAGTAAAATATGACTGACAACCTACCCACCCCCATCCCCCAATTGCTCAAAGGAGAGAATGGAATTACTAGTCCAGTTTGGTTTCACTGCTTTGGTTCGTGCTCAGGTGAAGTTTTACTGTTAACATTTGTCCGATCAATACAAACGTCAACTCAGTGAAAGAAACAAATATGTTTAATATTATAAAAATAGTTGTCATTCCCATGAGGTCCATAGACCACACTTTGAGAACCTGTGCTTTAAAAGACCAGAGTGTTCAAAGCAAACATGCCCTCTTCCCCAACACAGTTCTCTTTAATTAAATAATCCAGTGCTCAAACTTCCTTGATGATTGCCTAACTTTTGGTTTTAGTATGGATACATATAAGGTCCATATTTTACACTTAATATTTTTCTTATTTTTTTTCTTTTATCACCAGTTTTTATCCCTTGCAAGTTATTTGTTAAAGAAACTGTTCCTTGAGGGTTTCTCAGTCTGGGTTTACTGATTATGTTCCTGTGCTGTGCATTCCTGTTTTTCTCATAAGTAGCAGATTAGATCTAGAGACTTGATGGAATCTGGGGTATGAGTTCTAATGCAGTGGTATTTAATAAGCAGTATTGTTTATTTCCAATATCTTGTCTTTTTATGATTTCAGTCGCTACTAATGATCAGCTAAAGTTCTTAATTAAAGGAGTTGCAACTGATGAGATTCTAATTTTATTTATTAGCTGAAATACTGTAGAAAGAAACTTTCTTCATCTGGTTACCTAGTGACATAGTTCTTCTATCAAAGGGCAGATAGAAGCTTCTTTCCCTTTACTAATTTTCAAGATGAAGAGTTGGTGGGTTAGCAGCCTTCAAAGTTGGCAAGTTTTGTGATATTATAAATGCAATTTATTTGCTTTGATTTGCATATTAAGTGGAGTGGTTGTTGATGAAGCCATCACCACCCACCTACCTGTCCAACCACCTGAACATTGCATTCATCCCACTTAGTGTTGGGGAAGCCTGTACTCACACACCTATTCTTTCCATGACCTTTGCCAACATGCTTTTATCATTTCAGGTTTGATTGCTTGAAAGACTCATTCACTTAGGAACTGCTTTGCATAGATTGACTTTTTATTATTCGTTTTTTAGTGTAGAGTCGAATTCTAGTAAGCTAAGTGACAGTATGAGACTCTACTCTGTACTTCATTGTATATTGTACTTAATGATGGAAACTGTATGCTGTGCTTGAGAATCTAATGTATTTATTCCACTTGGGGACCTTCAGACATATACTAAATAGTGCGTAGATGTCGCTGTTCTCTATCAGGTAGAGAATGCTGGGGCATAAAAATAAGAAGCTAGGTGGGTCTTCTTACTATTACCATTCCATACCTTTTCCACTCATGCTGGTTTTAGTAGAAAATAAATACAAAATGGTCTATTGTTTATTTCCTTAACAGTGATGGTGGTCTGCGTTTTGGAGAAATGGAACGAGATTGTCAGATAGCCCATGGAGCAGCTCAGTTTTTAAGGGAAAGGTTGTTTGAGGCATCAGATCCTTATCAGGTTCACGTTTGCAATCTTTGTGGAATAATGGCCATTGCTAACACCAGGACCCATACATATGAATGCAGGGGCTGTCGTAATAAAACACAGGTAAGTAGAGACCTTACTAGCAGTGGAAACTTACCCGGGACATAACCATGTTGGTGTGATCATCCCTGCACTTAGTACAGTGGGATACATTGCCACTTTCCATTTTTTGATAGAATGCCTCTAAAAGAATTCAAGTTTTACAATTTTTTTTTTTAAAGATTTATTCATTCATATGGAACTGGGGTACAGGCCAGAGATGTGGAGGGTGAGAGGATTCACCAGAGTCAGAGAGGGGAGCAGAACAGGCAGATCAACGAAGTACACTGCTGAGGGGAGCAGTGGGTGGGTCAGGAGAGGTCTGCCACGCCATGTGGTCACCTCCGGGACGGATGGGGATCGAACTCATGCGGAAGTGGCTTCAGCCCCTCAGTGCAGTGCTTTAACCCGCTGCGCCACCAGGGAGGGCCAGAATCCAGTTTTAAATGAGAAAAAAGATAATTTGATTTTTTGTAAAAATTTCGTTAAGATTTACTGTGGTCATTTTCCCTGTATGTTTGTAATACCATGTACAAAGGACCTTTAAAGAAGGAGTTTTTCTTCAACCTTTTAATTCAGGAGGATGAAGATAAAGTATGACTGGCACAAAGGATGAAACTCTGAAGCCTGTTAGGAGAATAGAAACTTGCTAAGAGAGTGTTAGCTACTCATTTATTCAGCATCTACACTAAAATTTTTCATCTTTTTCTGGGGTAAAGAAGTGGGAGTCACTTCAATAGAGCTTTGCTAATTGCTTTTTGTTTTCTTTTCTAGATTTCTCTGGTTCGAATGCCTTATGCGTGCAAACTGTTGTTTCAGGAACTGATGTCTATGAGTATTGCTCCTCGAATGATGAGTGTTTAGTTCTTTTAAAAGATGCTCAACAAGATACTTATAAATGTCTTGTTCTGTTTCTGTGATACAGTCTTTAAAAAACAAATGACACATATGTACTGCGTTGCAAGAAAAAGCATTTTATTTGTTTTGTTTAATGATATGCATGCCTTCTGTAAATAGACAATAAATTTTTGTAGATAGATTTGATGTGTTATCTTTATTTTGTTATTTCTGTGTAAAAACCAATTACAGTAACTAAAGCATTAGAGGACTGGATGAAAAGAAAAGGGTTATTAGGTAAGAAAAGGGGTTGTAGTTATCCATGACTGCTGTAAGCTGCGCACACTGACACGCTCTGCAGGTTCAGGTTTATAGCTCGGCTCCTTCACCTGTTTTAAAAAAAGAAAAAGATAAGAAACTAGTTACTAGAAACTAGTTATGTGAATGTATGGTGACTTTAATATTTAGGTAGCTCTGTGTTTCTGAGTAAATGAAAATGTTACAATGTAGAAGCAGAAAACTGTTTTAAGTGATACAGTGGACTGCTCTTTGAATGAGAGTACACTTGGTTTTAGATGTGGAAAGCTCTTTGGCAGTTTAGAAGTAAGAGAGGACCTGATGATTAAACTGGAAAAGCACATTTTGCTAAGCAGACTTCTGTCATCCCGTTCTCCTTCAGTGATTTGTGGCAGACCTGAGATTCGAACACATGACCTGATTATTAGCTTCTGCTAATAATCTGACCAACTACATCTTACTTGATATTTCTTCCATTCATACCACACGGTGGAATGGTTTTACAGATGCTAACAATGAATTTTTTCTTATTTTTATCTTAAAGCCAATGCAGACAGCACTCTAATAGAACTATACAAATGTAAAGTAGCTTTGCTCTGACACCCCCAGGATAGGTACTTAGGAGGAAGTTTTTTGACAGTGAAGTTCATGGGGGCAGAACAGAGTTGGTTACTTGCCAGTATACTCTCTTTTATAGCTGGTTTTCTTATAAACACTAAAAGTGAAGGACCAGCCACATAGCCTACAGTACTTCCCTTTAATGGACATTTAATACAAAAGTCACAAACCAAGGACAAATGCCATATAGATAGAAAGTTATGGGGACCCACTCCTAGGTATATACCTAAAGGACACAAAAACATCAATTCAAAAGGACACCTGCTTCCCTGTGTTTATTGCTGCTCTATTTACAATAGGGAAGACGTGGAATCAACCCAAATGCCCCAAAATAGATGACTGGATTAAGAAGATGTGGTACATATACACAGTGGAATGTTACTCAGCAACCAAAAAAGATAAACTCATGCCTTCTGCAGCAACATGGATGGAGCTGGAAAAGATCATGCTTAGTGAAGTAAGCTAGAAAGAAAAAGAAAAATACTGGATGGTTTCACTCAGCATGAGCATAAGGGATCGGGAGAAAAGAGAAATGTTATAGAGTAAAAATGAAAACAATGAACAGCTGTAAGCCAGAGATATTTTATGGTTATAGAAAGGGGGTTGGGGTCAGAACTGGAGTGGGAAGAGTGCACTGGACTATGATGATGGCACACAGGTGAATTGGTGGTGGGAAGCCCACAGGGACTACAACTGAGATGGAAAAATGCACAAAATGAAGAATGATGTTAAAAAAAAAGTTAATGGGGAACATAAACCGTGTCAGTCAATTTGAGTTTTGACTCCTCTGTAAGAAAAAGTGAAAGTGTCTAAGTCATAATAATAGCATTCCATCAAATGTCTGGATTTTCTTTTGAGCTGTGTGCTCTACATTTTGATGGGCATACTTAATGCCCTCATGAATTCCTAATATTACAGAATTCATTAAGAGCTTGCCTGATAATTTCATACTTGGTTCTGTTCTTTATTAAACAAAAGGACTAGTTTGTTTTAAATGGATGTAAGATTTTCTTTTACCTACCTTTCTTCACTGGTATTTCATGCAAGGCATCAACTACTGTAATTTTTGCTGATGCCGAAGCCTGACCTTGGGAATTGGATGCGTGACACTCATATTCTCCAGCATCTTCCTTACTGAGAGGAGACACCTGTGAGAGAAAAAGATCTCAGTTCCTCAGTGACCAACTGGTTTCATTTAATTAGGTCATTATTTCAGCAGTTTCCTAAGATAACCAGGGGTTCATAGTAACCATACTGTTAAAAGTAGCCCAAGTTCTGAGCTAGACAACATTCATAGTTACCATGTTTGAACTGCTGAGGTTTAACTTCAACTGTGGAATTTTTTTGTTTTTCAGATTTAATACAAATTTAATGATTTCTAAAAAAGTATACTATTGTAGGGTAAACAAAGATGGCTCAGGCTTTTGCACTTTTGGCCTCTGGTGTATCACCTACAGCCTTGATTGTGGGAGGTGTTTGGAGTGTGGGGTCGGATACGCATGCCTGATGGTGGACACCTGGAGAACCGTGTGGGCGTGCCGAAGTGGGCACACCTGGTGGTATGAGAGGCTGGAGTGCTGTGGAAAGACAGCGGAACCGGGCTAAGAGAGGAAGCCCAAGAGTCAAGGTTTTCCGGGCCCGGGAGGCCTGTCAGCCTCCTGGCCTAATGGCCCCCTAACCTGCCCCAGGCCAGCCTGTCACTATAAATGTCGATCAACATCAGCTGGGTGATGTATGCAGATGGGTATGGAGCCCTCTGAAGACCACAGGAGGGACTGAGGGATTGCAGGCCAATAGTGTATAGCGCTCAGTGGCCCTGTGGGAGCCTCCTGGGTCCCCGGTGCAGGCAGAGAGGCCTGCATGCTTTGGGGGAGATGGACGGATATGGTGCCTGCTCCGTGCAGGGCAGGAGTGAGCGTTCCCTGACGGCTCTGCAAATGGAGTCCAGGATGAGGCTGGAGACACCATGTTGCTGCAGGAAGAGCTGAATGACGCTGCAGGAGCACAGGCGGTGGACAGGTCCGGGAGATGGGGACAAGATCGCCTATGGAGGAGCAGGTGGCCTGATAGGACCAGCCTGTGACCCCCTGAGCCAGCAGACTCATGGGGGAAGAACGAAGACCATGATTTGTCATTTGGAGCTCGCCCAGTGCTGAGGCAGAAACACCGATAGACTAAATCCTGCTGGAAGGCTGGTGAATGCTGGTAGGTTGATGTTGAGACTGAGGGGCCCTAGGGATGGAAGGGATCACTTGTACACTCAGGAGATGAAAGTCAAAGGGTCGCCGTGGGGGCCTAAAGCAGCCTGTGTGTTGTCTGGTACTTTAAGGCCACAGCCTGGAGAGGCAACAGCCAGAGTAGAGGAAGGGGCAGGCATGCGAGGGTGAGGTGCTGAGGAACTGTTCTTGGGGGATGGGCGGGGAACATAGCTTGTGGTGGGAACCACAGCTGAAAAGAGGCCCTGAGGGAGGCCACACGTGGAGCTGAACCCACGGATCTCCTACCTATGTGCATGTACAAAGGGTTGACCGCAGTGCCAGGGTCTGCTGTCACACTGGTGGCTGTGAAAGCAGGTGTTGGAGTGACAGCAGTGAGTACCACTCGGGACTGGATAACTGCCATAGAATGTCACCCAACGGAGTGCATCCTGGAGGTGGATGTTGGTGTATGGCTTGAGGCTGAGACCACAGCCAGAGGCCAGGAAGCCTGAGCTCCTGGTGTGTGAGGGCAGATGCTGTGAGTGAATCGTGGCTCCCTCTCAAACAGCTGGCCCTCAGCAGCAGACTTCGTGGGTCCTCTGTTGGTGGTATCAATCTTTCCTGGTTTTGCCCTTGGTTGGTGCCCTATCAGGGCTTATTTGCATTCTGTTGTATTTTGTTCTACTGTGATGGTGGTGTATTCAGTTGCATTCTGCCTTCTTGTGTGGGTCATGGCTGCACATTCTTTTGGCTTCCTCTGAGTGAGCAATCCCAGGGTCAGGCTATTAATCAGAGATAACATTCACCAAGGGAAAATTCACCAAGGGAAAATTAGTGTATGGTGAAAACCCTGAGGGGGTGGATGGTAGGGTAAGGAGAGATTACTCTAGTTTTGTGCCGCTGGCCTCTGTGGTGATCACCTGCGTTCTTGAAAGCAGGAGGCCCTTGGGAACGCGGGCTCAGGGGCACTCCAGCCTGGACTATGGTGTGGGCACACCTGAGCTGAGAGACTGAGCATATATAGGTGGGATCACAGAGGATGGGGTGTGGCAGAGGAAACCACAATGGAGCGCATTGGGGAGCTGAGAGAACATCAGAGGGCCCAAAGAAAGCAAAGATTCTGTGGGGCTGGGAGGTGAGCCCCGAGTGTCCCCTTCTGGCCTTGTACTGGTCACCTCACTACATATGGTGCGGGGAAGATCATTAAATGCTACTGAGGTCATGTAGTACTCAAAGACAATAAAAGTAAAAGGAAATCATGCCACTCAAAGCATTGTCATGGACAACTTCTAAGCACATTCACGTGGGTTAAAAGCTAGACAAGGCACACAGGAACTCGAGGGTGTCTTGGTAGGGCATGGGCTCTAAGGACAGGTCAGGAGTAATGATGGTCAAGCAAAGTATCAATTAAAATAATGGGAATCACTGAGTGTTTCTCTTTGAACTCAGAGTATTTCCAGAATGTCCTAATAAACTTCAGCTGCTTTTGGCTCCTTCTGAGGGAGCAGTCCGAGGCTCGGGGTGTTATCAGAGGTGTGGGAGGTCAGGTTCTGGCAGGCTGGCAGTGCTCTGGGCCTCCACCAAGTCAGCTCTCTTTAACGAAACCCTTGTCAGTGCTTGCTACTCACCAGGACCCAGCCAGTTACTTCGTGCTTTTCTGGCCCCCCCCGAGTCTGAATGGCCAGGTTGTCCCGGTCACCAGGCAAGAGTTCTGTTCTCTGAACCCCATAGTGACCTCTTTTTACCTGCAAAAACACAAGGGACAAGTCTTGAGTTTTCTGCACCAAATCATCCACTTGGAAGAGACTACATTGCTCGGGTTACAGAGCACTGACACCAGACTCCTTCCTTGGATGAAACAGAGCAATTTCCATGTTATCCTCCTCAGAGCACTTCACACCAAAATGCAGACTCTTATTTCTTCCTGTCAGTTTCCCTCTAAGCTTACAGATTTTCAGTGACTGTGTTTTCCTGTGTGCTGAGGGGTTACACATCCTACTTTCTCCACTGGCTACCATTATTCCCTCACATCTTTATAAATGCTGCTTCAGGCACGAGGCTTTTTCTTTCTGGCCATGCCAAGTTTGACTGATGAATGGCATCTCCTATTCTAGGTTTGATGTCTGTGACTTTGCTTCAGTCAAGGGGTTCTCCTGAAACAGTCTCTTTAATGGAAAATAGGTTGAACCCAAATCCAATACCATTACTTTGTTACAGGGGCTAGAGTTTCATAAGATGACTTGTTAAAGAACTGAGTTGCAAATGATGGTGCCACTCTGTGTGCCAGCAGGAAATTCAAAGGATGCATTAGGAAGAGTTTCCATGTCCTTGTTGGGAGGCCGGTTATGAATATGGTCCTTAATTTTTTTTTCAATTTCAAAAGACAAATTATTTACATTCTTATTGATTTTAGAAAATAGACGAAGTAAAATTTACTTATACCCGCACTACACACATACATTCAGCATAAATTTCTGTAAGTGGAATTGTTGCAGAGTGAAGATATTTTAAGGCTTGTGATAATGAGTTAAAAAATCAAAGGAAGTAATGTAACTTCCTGTATCCAATTCACCTTTAAGAACTAAGTTGATGTTTATTGATAGTCTTTGTGATTAGAAAAAAAGGATTTACAATCTCAAATTCCCTGTCATTTTCTATTAAGCAAATCTCAAGTAAATAGGTCGTGTTTCTGACCCTACACATCTGTGTTTCTTCTGCCTGGGATCCCCCCTCCACCACTTTTTTTTTTTTTAAAGATTTATTTATTTCTACATACAGAACTGGGGTACAGGCTAGAGGCTCAGGGGCGGTGAGAGGCTTCACCAGAGACAGAGCGGGGAGCAGAACAGGCAGATCTACGAAGTACACTGCTGAGAGGAGCAGTGGGCGGGTCAGGAGAGGGCTGCCACGCCATGTGGACTCCTCCTGGGCAGGCGGGAATTGAACTGATGCGGAAGTGGCTTTAGCTTCTCAGTACAGTGCTTTAACCCGCTGCGCCACCAGGGAGGGCCATCCACCACTTTTTTTTTAAGATTTATTTATGCATACAGAACTGGGGTACAGGACAGAGGTAGGGGGAGAGAATTCACCAGAGACAAAGTGGGGAGCAGGACAGGCAGATCGAAAAAGTACACTGCTGAGGGGAGAAGCTGGTGGGTCGGGAGAGGTCTGCTGCGCCATGTGGGTCACCTCTGAGGCCAGGTATTGAACCTGTGCTGTAGTAACTGTGACAGCTTCATAGTGCTGCACTTTAACCCGTTGTGCCACCAGAGTGGGCTCTCTACCACTTCTGTTATTAAGTTCTTGTCTCAACTTCAAGCCCTTTTATTTTTTCTGCTTCATTCTCGCAGGGCTGGAACTTTTCAAACCATGTGGGATCCCGCCTACTCCTACTCTGTGAAAAATAGCTAGTATTAATGATTTGGAATGCTGGTTTTTTTTTGCTAGTTTGTTTTTTTCCCCTGCGATTTCTCACTATTACTGTGAGAAAAACCAAATATCTTATGTTTTCTTCCTATGACGGCTAAAAAGATAAAACATACACTCAATAAGCATCTTCAGTTTCCCAAGTAACTGGGGAAACTGTTTATGCTAGTGCAGTTTTTGAAATACTCTTAAAGTGAGTTTTAGTAGTGGTCAAATATTAATTTGACTCAACTGTTAAAGTAATATGTCTGACTTTTCATACTGGCTTTCAGAATCCTTTAAAGGTTTTTTTGTGTGAACAAAGAAAAACACTACAACACAGATACACTGAAACAAATGAGCTGCTATCCTCAGATCCTGGGGCTCTAAGTAAAGGACATTCTGTGCCAATTAACCTGGCCCCCCGATACAGAGCAGCTATTATTGTAAAGTATTTGCCTGGGAAATGAATATTTTCAGTTAACCACACTCATACTTTATTTCATTTTTTTTTAAATATTTCAGATTTTTTTTGAAGATTTATTTATTTATTCATACAGAACTGGGGTACAGCCAGAGATGTGGAGGGTGAGAGGATTCACCAGAGACAGAGTGGGGTGCAGAACAGGCAGATCTACGAAGTACACTGCTGAGGGGAGCAGCGGGCAGGTCAGGAGAGGTCTGCCCGCCATGTGGATCTCCTCCAGGGCAGGCGGAAGTCGAACTCATGCGGAAGTGGCTTTAACTTCTTAGTGCAGTGCTTTAACCCGCTGCGCCACCAGGGAGGGTCACTTTATTTCATTTTTAATAAAGATTTATTTATGCATACAAGAGCTGGGGTACAGGCTGGAGGTTCAGGAGATGAGAGGATTCACCAGAGACAGAGTGGGGAATAGAACAGTCAGACTGACTGAAATACAATGCGGAGGGGAGCAGTGGGCAGGTCAGGAGAGGTCTGCTGTACTACGTGGGTTACCTCCCTGGCCGGGGATCGAACTCATGCTGCAGTGGTTGCGGTAGCCTCATAGTGCTGCACATTAACCCATTGCACCACCAGGGAGGGCCCCTGAACTCACACTTTAACACATTATGAAATGTTAGATGTGACACCATGTAGAGAACAAATAGAAATGCCAAGAATTTTTGCATGGCAAATCTTTGTAGGGTAAGCACCCTCTTATGCAGGGGAATTGATAAACATGGGTACTTAGTTGAAAAAAATAAAAAAGCTGAAAAAAGTGGCTCATAGACAATTCTACACATGTGGAGTGAATTTAATGTGCCTCAGAGTCAACCTTAGAAATCTGTGGGGCAGGAAAAACTGCCAGTAGCCATTGCTCACCTTCAAGTGTCAATGACGGGAGATGCAGAGGGAGATAAAGGAAGCCTTTTGTGCTCTCTCTGGTTGCATTTTAGTTGCAATAAAAACTTCATGAATCCTGCTATAGCAAACCAGCAATTACAAAGAAAAGTGCTAGTGACTATAGCAACAGGTAATCTGATTTCTAAAGGATAATACATTGCAAGGGTTCACTGAATTTCAGGGAGCTTTAAAGGATGTTTGTGCAGCAAAACTATTGTGCCATTCTGGTGAAGTTTCAGAAGATTTTGATGATTAGAATACACAGCATCATGTGTTAAAACTTTTAGTCACTAAAAAACCCAAAACCAAACCAAACTAAGCCAAACTTCTAGCCAAAGTAAACAAAGACAGACCATGCAGGGGAAACAATTGATATTAAGAAAGGGCAAAATTTCTGATGCACAAGAAACCGTAATGATAACAAGAAAATTTTCCAATAGAAAAATGAGTGAAGGATGAAGAATATGGAAACACTAACCCAAAGAGATTCATTACACCATTCTCCACAACAGTCCAGAGTTGGAAACAACTTTCAAGAGCCATTGGCTGATGGATGGATACAAATGTGTGTATACATCATGGATGGACTACTTGGCTATAAAAAGAACAAAAATTCTGCCATTGGCAACAGCATGGACCTTAAAAGGAATTATGCCTGGTGAAATAAATCAGATGGAGAGAAACACCATGTGAGTTTACTAAAATGTGTGCTATGAAGAAGCACAGTAAATGACCTAAACAAAATCTGTTAGACTCTAAGACCAAATTAGAGGTTAGTAGAAGAGAAGGGGGTGAAGGAGAAGAGTAAATTGGTGAAAGGGGTCACCTGCATGGTGAAGGTTGGAATTAAACTTGTAGTGATGGACTTAATATAAAATATTACAGATGTTGATTTAGAGTGATGTACACTTGAAAGCAATATAAGATTAAAAAAACAAATGTTTATAATAGAAAATTTAAAAAACAAAGGCAAATGTGAATTTTTAAAAATGGGCAGAGGATATTAAACAGGCAATTTTATGTAAAAGAAAAACTGAATATTATCAATGGAGTCAAGGAAATGAGATGCTGCTTTTACCCATTTTAATATAGCTAACAAGACGGGAAATATTCAGGCTGGTGAGGATGTGGGAAATGGCACTCCCACATCGCGACCTCCATCTAGAAAATAACCTGACTGCATTGCCACAGAAAGGTTAAAATGCAACCACCGGGAATTTGAAAAGTAAAAACGGCCAAACAAGTCAGAACAATGAAAACAAATACTGGACATTCACACAGCAGACAAGTCAGCAGCGTAGAACACTGGACATCAACATACCCCGAGGTCTCTGAGGATAAGAGCGAGAGGGGAAGAGACATGGGACACAGTGGTGGTGGGAGAAGAAGCAGACAAAAAGTAAAGCTGTCACGCCAGGCAGGTGTTACTACAGTAGATGGAATAGGATACCTTAGTTTTGTTCAAATAACATTGAGAGTAGAGACACTGCTATATGATTATTAGTAGAGTCAAGTCTTGTTCTAGCTTTGGGTAGAAATGTAAATTGCTTTAAACTGGCAATGTAAGTTATAATTAAAAAAAGAAAGAAAAAGGGCTGATTGATCAGACTTGGTTTTAAATAAAAATGAAAATTTTGGTTCTGGTTACACTGGAAAAAGGACTTGAGGAAGAGAAAACATACTCTGTGCGGTCTCTTAAAACACTGAGTTATACTTAGAGCTTCAACATAGATCCTGTCTATAATGTCCCCATTATTTTTGTCCTTGGCAGTTTCATTTATTGCCACTTCAATTTCCAGTTTCTCAGGCTGTTAGACAAAGCTCAGATCCTCTTGTTTCCTGCAATGGTAATTTCCTACAGATTTTGTGTTTCAAGCCAGGGACCATACATCCACACCCATACCTCCCCTGCCCCAGCCCCCCACAAACACAAGAAAATAATCTGATGGTGTCAATTAAGACTAAAATCTTTTGACCTAGCCATGTAATGTTTTGGGGAATTTATACAATGCGGGCAGGCAGGGGGAGCAAGCACTAACAGATCGGATATGTATACTCAAGATATTTAAACCATTTTGGTATTGTTTCGATCATTTCCAATGACCAGTGACCCTCCCTGTTGGGTTAAAGCACGGTGATATGAAGCTATCACAGTCACGGCGGCACGAGTTCAGTCCCCAGCCAGGAAGGTGACCCATGTGGCGCAGCAGACCTCTCCTGTCTTGCCCACTGCTCCCCTCAGCAGTGTGTTTCAGTAGATCTGCCTGTTCTGCTCCCTACTCTTCTGGTGATCCCTCTCACCTGTTCCCCCCAAACATCTGGCCTGTACCCCAGTTCTTATATGCATAAATCAATCTTTAAAAAAATAGATATTTAAGCTGACCAAAAATTGGAAATGACTGAAACAATACCAGAATGGTTTAAAGATGATGGTACATTCACACTTGGGAGGCTACACAGTTATAGAGAAGCAGATCTGGAGCGATGGCCATTAAGCATTGACTGAGAAAACTGAGAAAATCGAGTTTCAGAGAATTATGTACACTGTATTCCCATTCCACCCTGCACATGGGGACAGTGTGAGCATGTATGTGGGATGAATCAGGGCGTGAACAGACACAAGCCAGGGCCATTCGCCGAGAACAGAACTGTCCTCAGAGAACAGAAGGAGATGGGGAGACCCTGCACTCTTTATGCATCTTTTGTTAGTTTTCCCTTGTTACCATTATAACAACTTAAACATTTTCAAACTTAAAGGATATTCTTAGAGGTCATAGGGTTTAAATCTGAAAAAATGTTCAGGCAGGACAAGAACTGAAGGGAGGTCTCCTCCGTCTTGGAAACACCCAAGGGCCTGGGAGGAGACACAGGTGTTTACCTGTCATCTCTGACTTGCCAGGTTAAGATACATGACTATTCCAGTTCATTTCCCCACTTCAACATATTGCTTTTGGGGTGAAAAAGTCTAGGGCTTGTTAACATCAGCTCGATAGCTACTGGTAAGGAAAGCTTAGGCCACTCACTAGGCTGCCATCTAAAAGGGGCACCGTTGTCACCTGATGGCTCAGAGACACTCGTCCTGTTCCCCAGCTGCTAAGACTCTGTGCCCAAGAAAGACCTTCTGTGTGCCTCATTTTAGCCAGAGTGCTCTAGGGCCACTTACAGCCCCCCAAAGCAATTCTGTGTTTAAATTGAATTTGAACTTCACGTGACCTTGTTCGGGAGACGGTACAGCCTGAACGGGCTCCAGCCACTGGTGCTGTATGGACTCCACCCACCACCATGCTAGAAATCACAGGTGTCTAGGATTGCAACTCCCATCATGCCACAAAACTGCCATAGCTCTTGACTTCCTGAAGAGGGGAGTGAGGGTTCTGGGAATAAGGGTGGGGTTAAGTAGCCATGCTTGGTATAAAGCTGAACATATGTGGGCTTGGAGGGGAACTGGATTTTGCCTGCATTCAGCATCACCTGGGCTCCCATTTCCGGCACCATTACAGGTAGGACATGCTGATCAATTAATTTCTCCATGCTTCCTTGTCACTCTCTTAAATCCCCTGCTTTTCATTTCGCTTATATACAAGCTTTTTATTAACTGTTGTGTGTCCTTGTCCTTGGGTCTTGTTCTGAATTTGGGTGAGGATTATTTCAGCCTGTCTTCTAAACAGTCTGGTTATAAGGAATGTGGGAAGAAAACAAATGTCCATTTAACTATTTAGGTCAGTGACTTTCAAAGTCCCACAGTAGGAAATACATTCTGCATTGCCATCTGGACTATACAAAATGATATAGTGATGCTCCTATTCAGTGTGATGCCTAGAGCTGCTTGTATTTTAATTTTTAAAAGAAAATGCAGGTTGTGATCCCCTACATTAAAGTCAGGACTCATGGTTGGGTCACGGTCTGCAGTTTGAAAAACACTGCCTTATGGCATACACATGGCAAATGACTTCCTGAAAGAGGAGGAAAGTCAGAAGAACCTGGCAGTTGGGATTTTGCTTGTTTCTGGAAGGACTATAGAAAATTATTTTTCTGTTTCTCCCACTCTCTTCCCCCTTTTCCATGTGTTCAACCTCTTAGCTGACAAACCCTTAGGGAAGCCCATGGATCTGGTTCATATGATCATAAAAGTTTAGCAGAAAATATCCCAAGGCAGATTTATTCCCCTGCTGCATAGGTGGGGTAGAGTAAAGACTGAAGAAATTATCCTTTCTCAAGGTTTGTCAGTAAGGCCACATGTCCCGTGACGTTTGGTTCACTCTGCTTCTTTTTAGTCTCCAGAGAAATGCAACAGAACTTTTATTCTTTGGAAAAGTTGTTCCTCTGTCTCTCCAGCATCCTGAGTAAATCAGCAGCAGCCAAATAAGCAATGAAGCGCCTTAGCAGCTCTGGGGCAAAAGCCAAGAGGGACACCCACCGCTTCACTTCTCCCTAATCCCCATGACCAAGTCCACTTATGAAGGTGAGCTCTCATTGCTCCCTTTAGCAGAAGTGAAGGACAGCTGTAGCACTGGAGTGGAGGGGTGGGACTGTGTCTACTTGCAGTACCCAAGCCAATTTGTAGTCACCCAGATTTCACTCCCACCAAATGGCCTGAAGAGGGGGCTGGAAGTTGACTTCAGCAGCAGCAGCAGCATCTTTACAGGCTGGGGAGAGGGGCAGACTCTTTCCTAAGCAGTGATAGTAACTGGAGCTGAGAGCTGCTAGTGCAAGAGTGCCTGTCACGTGGGGGAGGCTTTCTGAGGTAGTAGGACCAAGGCGTTGAGAGCAAAGCGTCAAGAGAATCCTGGCTGTGTAGCTGAAGCCAGCTGCCGTGAGGCTGGAACCACCCTTTTTCATTTGGACTAACCTAGTTTGACGTGGGTTTCTATATTTAGCATTGAGAGTGTTAACTACAGGAGCCAAAATCCCTCTAGAGTTCCAGAAGCTGCTCCACTGCTCATGCACAGGGTATACAAAAGAATCGAAATACTACTATGCATCGCTGAGCTTGCTGGAGTAAGTCAGTTAAGAAGGAGCATCTGGGGGCCTCCCAGGTGGCACAGGGGGTTAAGTCTCAGCACTACGAAGATATCTGCAGTTTCTGCAGCACAAGTTTGATCCCCGGCCAGAGAGGTGATCCAAGTGGCTCGGCAGACCTCTCCTGACCCGCCCACTGCTCCTCTCAGCAGTGTATTTCAGCCAGTTGGCTTGTTCTGTTTCTTGCTCTACATGTCCACAGGTGCACACATCCAGAGGGTGGGTTTGGGCGTTCGGCATTATAGTTTTCCAGATCCTAAGGTTCCCTGCTCAGGCTCTGCAAATGAAAACTGGCAGGAGCTATTTGAAAGGTCAGGAACATAGTTCTTCATTCAGGGCAGGTGTTGGGAAGAATGCTAGAAGACACTGCTTTTGGAGAGCAGCAGGTGGTGGAGCAGACTGAGGCATTGAGGTCATTACCATCCCTGTGCCCGGCAAGAGGAGCTTGTTGCATCACTGACCTTGTTCCAGATGAGGACAGGGGTGGGGATTCCGATGACCTCACAACTCAAGTACACCTGGGCACCGGTGACATTCCAGATGTCCTTGGGAGGTGTCACAATGGAAGGACCTACAAAGAGAACACAAACCAAACCCATCTTGTAAAAACAGTTTTTTTTTTAAGATTAATTTGTGCATACAGACTGGGGTACAGGCCAGAGGTGCAGGGGTGGCAAGAGGCTTCACCAGAGACAGAGTGGGGAGTAGAACAGGCAGATCGATGAAATATATTGCTGAGGGGAGCAGCGGGCAGGTCAGGAGAGGTCTGCCAGGCCATGTGGTCACCTCGGGGCAGGCGGGGATCGAACTCATGCGGAAGTGGCTTTAGCTTCTCAGTGTTGTGCTTTAATCCGCTGTGCCACCAGGGAGGGCCGTAAAAACAGTTTTTAACCTTAGCATGGTAGGAATAAATACTTGATTGTGTTTATGAAGCTCTCTCCTCTGGAGTATCTGGATTATATTTTAAGACCAGAACTGGCTTTGCCTGCTACCAGCGTAATTCTGAATTATGCTTTGGGGATGTGTATATCTGCCCTCAACTCATGTTTAAATGAGGATAAACTTACCAGTTGCTCTGTGTTCTCTGGGACGTTCCAATGAACAAATTAATATGATGGAGCTTTAAAATCCATTTTATTTTTTATTTTTTTAAATTCAGTTATCCTTGAATTTATTGATTGTTACTATGGATTTATTTTTTAAAATTGAGGAAACAGTAGGATCCCCCCTCCCCGGAAGCCACCCTCGTGTGCCCTCCACCAAATCACCTATTGCTCACACCCTGTCCATCATGCTTCCTTCCTTCTTTGTTCCCCCAGTATCGTGAATCGTCATCCTAAAATGTCTCATGCTTTTCTTTTTTGGACATTACTATTTTTTTTTTTAAAGATTTATTTATGTTTACAGAACTGGGGTTCAGGTCAGAGGTGTGGGAGGAAAGAGGACTCACCAGAGATGGAGTGGGGAGCAGAACAGGCAGACTGACAAAATACACTGCTGAGGGGAGCAGCAAAATACACTGCTGAGGGGGCAGGTCAGGAGAGGTCTGCCATGCCCTGTGGGTCAGCTTCCTGGGCGGGGATGGAACTCGTGCTTCAGTGGCATTGGAGAGCTTCATGATATGGTGCTTTAACCCACTGCACCACCAGGGAGTGCCTGATACCAGGATTTTTACTGGGGCATGAGGGTGAGGGTTGGTGGCAACCACCAACCACTGCTTGGGTAATGAGAGAAAAAGGAGATATTTGATCATGTGCTGAGCACTGGAAAGGCAGCCACTGTCTGGAGAAGCTTAGTGTGGGAGATAGAGACACCCGCGACGATGGGCAGGAGCGGTAAAGTCCAGGGAAGAGAGGAACGTGGAGTTGTCTGCCTGATGGGACTGAAGGAGACACCTTTGAAGAGAAGTGGCCTGGGTGTCCAGAAAGAAGATGGGAAACTTCTTCTTGACTGTGCAATTTGGGCATCAATGGGGAAAAAGGAACCCAGAACCCCTAAAGAGATGGCTCTTTCCCAGGACTGTGTGCAGGTCCCTGGCAGGTGGCACTGGCACGTGGAACCTGGCATTGCTTCACTGGTGGCTAAGTAGGGGAATACTCAGGGAGAGCCCGAAGCAGCACCCCTCTCTCTCCTCCAATTCTGGAACACCCCAGGCCTCCTCTATCATTTTCCCTTTAATCAGAAGGCCCTTACACAGCCAACATCAGCGGTGTGCATCCTTTCAGTGGCTAAAGAGGTTCTGGGGTCTGCAAACTACGGTCCATAAATCTGGCCCGTCAGTTATTTTTTGCTTTTCTTGAATGCTCTTTGTGTTTTTAAGTGGTTGAATAATAAATGAAAGGAAGGATGTTTCATGACATGAAAACGATAAATTCACATTCTTGGTATCTATAAAATAGAATAATGTTGGAACACAGTCATGGCCAGCATGGAGCAGTTTCCGTCAAGACTCAGGCCGAAAATACTTGGTACTTGGCCCTGACAGAGGAAATGCTGATCCCTGCTCTATCAGTGAGGGGTGGGGATGGGGGAGGCATGATGCCTAAATAAATGTGGCAGAAAAATGTCAGGACTTTAACCCTGTGTATATCATGCAGAGCTGATGCAAGTAAACCCACTGGATCAGTTCTGGATTGCAACAATATTGAAGCCAGTAGATCCCACAAGGGCTGTGGCTACTTGCTGCTCCTTTCTGCTGGGGAGGCAGGAGGGGCGGGATTTGCACCCTGTGTGTCGATCAGAGGAGTGTGCACTGCTGGGAATTAGTAACTCACTTCTGCTGATTCTGAATGCCAGGCTTCAGGCTCTGGGGCCTTCAGAGAGACTAAACAATCCACAGAAGAAGGGCCGGAGCCTGGATCCCCACAACAGTGCCCTGTGCCAACACACAACTTCGCCCTTTCTTGAAGCTCAGTGGCACTTACTGAATGCATGAGTTAACTTTTCCCTCTAAGGTCTAGCTATCGCAGTCTTGGGGCTTTCAGTCTAATAAAATGTCTTAGGGCAGGGTCCTCTTGCCTCAGAGTCCTGGGAAAGGGACAACCTTGCCTCTAGGCCTGGAAAGTTTTCTGGCATAATCAGCATTCAAGGGACATGAAGTCTTCCCTCTTGCAAAAGGCTATTTCCAGCACACTATTAGTTTCTTGAACTGGAAAGGAAATGACCCCAGCATGGAAGATTTTTCCCACTCATCTAAAGTCCTAGATGTTGATTTTGTTTAATCCCTTGGGGTATTTTTATTTTGTCCCTTATAAGAATGTGCAAAACAATCGAAGTTTTGAAAGCTCTAAATATACTTTGTGCTTCCTTTCCTCTAAACCTCTGAAGAGGAAGCTTCTAGCTTGAGGTGGGAGCCTGGCTTTTCTGTCGCAAATGTGGATGTGGTTAGGAGAGCTGTGCTGTGTTTATGTGTGTTTCTCTTCTGTCTCGGAAGCTTCCTAGTCCAGCTGGAGCAACACTGGGTCCCACCAGGGCTGGCCAGCTCCTTACTGTATCCCAGGCTTTCCCCACAGCTCCCAGGCCCCAAGGGCTTGGGTGCCACAGAACCAGCTGTGACTGGACTTTGAATTACTTTCTCTCATCTCACTGAGAGCCCCTGTGTGGCTCTGTCCTCCTTCCCACATGAGGACCTGGCAACATGACCTCAAAGCTCCAGGGACCTTAAGGGATTGTTCTGAGAAGAATACACCAGTGTTCAGAGATGTGGAGAGGCTGGAAACAAAGTTGCCTTCACATATCAAAATCACACAAATTGGGCCTCCCTGGTGGCGCAAGGGGTTAAAACACAGCACTATGAAATGATTCGCAGTCACTGCAGCACAAGTTCGATCCCTGGCCATGGAGGTGACCCACAATACTGCACTCCCCAGCCCATGCTAAAGAGCCATCCTCGCACGAGCCACTAAGAAGCAACCAAGCGACCTTTCATGTATATATATTTTTTTTTTAAAGATTTATTTATTTGTGCATACAGAACTGGGGTACAGGCCAGAGGTGCAGGGGTGGCGAGAGGCTTCACCAGAGACAGAGTGGGGAGCAGAACAGGTAGATCGACGAAGTACACTGCTGAGGGGAGCAGCGGGCGGGTCAGGAGAGGTCTGCCACGCCATGTGGTCACCTCCGGGGCAGGCGGGAATCGAACTCATGCGGAAGCAGCTTTAGATTCTCAGTGCTGTGCTTTAACCCGCTGTGCCAGCAGGGAGGGCCTCATGTATATTCTTAAACTCTTGGAGATCTGTTCTATTTCATGAGAACACTCAGCAAAATGACTCTACTAAATCAAGATGACTGGATTAAAAAGATGTGGTACATATACACAATGGAATATTATGCAGCAGCCAAAAAAGAAACATATGCCTTTTGCAGCAACATGGATGGAGCTGGAAGGGATCATGCTTAGTGAAATAAGCCAGAAATAGAAGGAAAAATACTGGACATTTAACTTATAGCAGGAGCATAAAGGACCAGGGGGGGAAATAATAATGAACAACTATCTACCAGAGACATTTTACAGGGTGGAGTGGGGAATGGGATCAAACATGGGAGGGAGGGGGAAATGCACTGGACTAATATGATGGCACATGGGTGATCTGGTGATGGGAAGCCCATGGGGATTACAAATGAGATGGGAAAAGGCACAAAATGATGTAAAAATAACCTATAATAATAAAAATATTAAAAAGCTATATAAAATAAAAAATAGTTATAATAATATCAATTCTAATTCTTTCCACTTTGCAGATCCAGCATTTATTTCTATTTTTAAGGATAAAGCAATTTTAGATCTCTTTGAGATCATTTTCAGAAAGAAAACTTAAAATCAGTTCTCAAGGCCTGGCCAAGGGAAACAGTATTGCCATCTAAATCAAGCACAGTGCTTGGATTCCATTTAAATCTAGTCACAGAAAATTTAAATGTTTAGGGATAACCACCAGCATAGGTTCAGTTATTTATTTATTCTTGCCTTTGTTCCATTAAAGACTCCAGATTGCTCAAACATCTGTCGAGCAAACATCCTGTACATCGCCTATCTGACAGCCCAGGCCTCCCTCCTCTCTTGTACCACCTGCAGCAACCAAGATGTCCAGATTGCCCCGTGCCTGGTGTGAGGAAAGTCTGCCCTGGCTTTCCCCACCTCAATCACCCCAGTGTCTTCCTCAGATAACTGTCCCCAAGCCAGACTACTTCATTTTCTTCTCTTTCTAAGTTATCTTTCTAACTCACTGCATTTTCATTCAGTTGTGGCCAGATCCTAGATGAAATTGTAGCACACACAGAAAAAGAAAGCTTGAAGTTTTGATAAAAACTAAAATTCAGTGGAATAAGCCGGTGCCACCATACACGTACCCCTAAGTAGTTATTAAAAATCTTCTGCATGGCCCTCCCTGTTGGCGCAGCGGGTTAAAGCAATGCACTGAGAATCTAAAGCCTCTTCCGCATGAGTTCAATCCCCGCCTGCCCCGGAGGTGACCACATGGTGTGGCAGACCTCTCCTGACCCGCCCGCTGCTCCCCTCAGCAGTGTACTTCGTTGATCTGCCTGTTCTGTTCCCCACTCTGTCTCGGGTGAAAC